TACTGTAGGGATCCACACTGCCCTCCTTCTTTTACTCTTAATTGAAACTTGTGGGCATTTTTGTGGTGTCTTTTTCACAAGTCAGCGCTGAGCAAGACGCTGGCTGTTTCCAGTTATAAGGGACTAGATCTCAGCTGCTGCAAATGCTAGAGAGGTCAGTGGGGTTGAACTGATTTATAGCAGCTGAAAATCTAGTTTACTGACTGAATCTGTTTAAAGGGCATCAAAAGGGACAAGTGGGTTTCACTTAGGAAATAACAACAAGAGGCATGAAGTTTTGCCTACAGGAATCAACTCAGTGCCGAGGGCCCTGCTTCCTAGAACGGCCCAGCGGCAACTCTGTTGACTTTGTTGGAGTCGCTCCTGATCGAACAGCTGTTATATGCGAAGAGAATTGGGTCTTGATGGGGAGAGGGATGTAGATATTAAAGCCACTTACACTGTAGTCAGGAAGCACGATTGACCGGAGCTAGCTTTACTCAAGCCAGTACTGGGAGCAGTGAGCTTCAGGGCAGGCTAGAAAAGCCCTCCCTGGTTTTTGGTTGATTACTCAATGCCTGAATCTGTGCTGCCATGGTTTCATGGCATTTGGGACCCAGACTAGCTAAGCTAAAGCAGGCTCAAAAATGTGTTACAAGCTCCCCCCTGACTGCCGTCTTAAGACTTGGCATGCTTTTTCCTGCAGGTGTGGTGACGGAGGCCTGCCCTAAGTAGGCCTTGCCCTTCCTCTTGGTAGTACTCCTAGTAGTACTCTTGGAAGGGTTGTTTTCTTGTTACCTTTACATTCCTGGCTAGTTTTAGCTCCTTTTCCTATGCCTTTCTGATTTTGTCTCTATGTGTTCATGCTACGTGTAGCAATTTGACCTAATTTCCACAGCCTTCCAGAAGGAAGGTCGTGAGAATCTGGTGTAGTCAAAATCAAGCAAACAAGGTGTTATTGGAAAACAAAACATCCTTTATTATGTCTAATGGATAAGGGGCACGTCTACACGTGCGCCAGGCTGCGCAGTTGTTAGCAAGTACTAAATGACTCTGCAGGAACTGGTGTTGCCGCGCAGTCTGGATCCTGCACGGGTTTTTTCCCACGCTGCTGTGCAGGAGCATCCGCATCATGGTTTGTGCCTGTTGACACTACGTCGCCGTAGCACTGAGCTGTGGTGACCATAGCTCATCGCTACGGCCACATAGCGTCTCGCCCAAGGAGTAAAACCTTGACCCCGCAAAAGTAATTGGGAAAACCCTCATTGACTGTGGTCGGATGAAGAGTTCAACATATACCACTTTAAACATCACCTTTTAAGTAACTTGAGCCAGGCCACTGAGGGAGCCCATGTCACTAAGGGAGTCTGGACTGGAAAAGAGGAGTCCTTCAAGTTCCCAGTCAGTCACATGGGGCTGTTTTAAAGGCAGATGGTATAGCCCTCCTGCTATATTTCAGCTCCTTGCCTGCCTTGGGATGCAGTCTTATCTGCGAAGATAGCTAGGATCACAGAGGAGCTGAAATTAAACCTTTACATATGCTGGAGTGGTGCTTGCTGAGAGTCTGATGCATGCGGTTATCAGTGGTGGCTTTTTCACACACTTGTCTCTTAGCCCCCAAGAATATCTCTGAGCACCAAAACTCACAGTCTTCCATGTCCCATTACATGATTTTTTTTTATTCATGGGCTAACTTCTCCTTTCCTTTCTATTCCTCTCTGTGCTCTTTGCAACGGATCCAAGAGGCAGAACCCCTCAGCTGACACTTGGCCGCAAGCACCACAATGATTTCTGTACTAGGCGAGCAAACCGACTTACGCATATATAGCAAGCCATGATCTCTCCCCCCTGAGAGTCATCTTTTTTGGCAGTGGGCCCCATTTTCCTTTTGTCAACTCCGGGCCATGTTCAGAAACACTTGAATGATCAGTCAGTATTGATACACCTCACTTCCTCCCTGTTTTATATCATCTAGTAGATCCCCCCCTTAGAATAGGGAACCTTGTAAAATATAGCAAAAATCAAGAAATAATTGAATCTTTAAATGTCTAGTGTGGCTCAGGAACATATTTAAGGAGGAGTGGGTGGTTAATGCTATAAGATGCATCTGTACCATGCCCCCAGCATGTCCTGGGAAGGTCGTTTCACATTATGCTGCACCTACCTGCTCCTTCTCACACATACAAAACCCAGTGGCCCTACTCACGTACCCTTTGGCAACCTGTCTGTGGGTGGCATGCACTTAGGAGTGCTCCTGCTGGGGGAATGGTATAGGCACACCCGTGGAGTTTAAATGGGATCTGAGATATTGTGAAATGTGCTACCCACTAGCTACCTGTTTCCATTTCACTGTAAGTAAGACATCCAGAACGATGGATGAGTTCAAAGTTGTAATCCTTAAATGAGGTGGGAGGTGAGGAGCAAGAGGCTTTACCTGACAGATTTAAGGTCTGGAAAACTTGCCTAACAGTGGGACATTATATGGAGCTTAGTCTACTCATGTTATCAAGGTAGACATATGGATTGGTCAAGTTTTGCTGTACACACGCTCAATGAAGATATTTGATGTTCTGTAGATTAGCAGACACTGATAACCCAGGATCTATGAACCGGAAGTTGAAGCTAGTCAAACCAACAGGAAGTCCAATGTAGACTTGTATCAGTGCAGGTCATAAGCTGCTGAAGCAGCTACATAGAGTGGGGTCAATTCTCCATCAGTTGAAGCCTTTAAATGAAGACTGAATATTTTGCTAAAGGCATGGCCACTAGTCAATAGGCTCAAAGAGTCACCAGGTACAACTTCATCACTAGGCCAAACTAAAAGGCCCTGAGATGTGTGAAAACTATCTCACACCTCCTGTTATCCTCTGAACTGCTAAATGAGAACTTCAATTTCTCCATCATCCTCTAAGTTTTAGTGTATAAACAGTGCCAGTTAACTGCTGATGTTGACCGAAACAGTTGTGCGCACACACGCATGCAAACACATGGGTGCACGTCTACAGGCACTTAGGAATACTGGTGAGGGAGGACATCCTAGGGAATGTAGAACAGGACTATGAAGGCAGTCTCTAGGTCTAATCCTCTTCAAATTGATAGCGACTCAAAGCTATTATTGAAAAGGGGAAAGCACATGATGCAATCCCATGGCCTGCACGTGCAGAATTGTTGAGTTCCCAGTGACTGGCGCCCACGCAGCAAAATCCACGCTCTCTGCGCGTACGTTCCCCGGCAGCCTCACCAAAGATGCAAATTAAGAAATGGCCCAGGAGAACGAAATACTTAGGATGAATGGCCTGAAATGAGCAGAAGGAGCAAACACCTCAGAAAAGCCTGGTCCGATTTCTTGCATTTGCCCTGGCTTTCTGGTTACATTGTCAAAGAGCAGTTCTTCCCTCGCCGTGCCGGTTTTGAAATCCAAAACAGCAGTCGGGTCTTCAGTGCTGCTGCATCTACTCAGCCATCCCTGGTGACACTGCCCCTGTCCTGATCCCACTGGGAACCAAAGAGAGGTACTGCTGTTAGGAGGCAGTGCTAGATGATGATGCCCCCTCCACCCTCAGCGCTTGAATACTGGACTCCTCTCGACTGTCTCTCACGGCATCAGGCACGAGACTGCCTTGAGTCAGTCAGGCATGAAAAATGCAGTTGGGAAAACGCGAAAAGGGGGTGGGAAGCAGGAGAGCCGGAGGAGCAGAAGGGGAAAAGGGCAGAAGTGAGAGCTGGCAACAGAAAGGTAAAGCAACAGCAAGAGGGAGAAGGGCAGGATGAAGGAGTTGAGGAAGAAGTGAGGAAAGGAAGGAGAAGACCACCGAGAACAGAAAAAGAAACCAGGAGAAGGACAAGAGCCTGTGGCTGAGCACGGGTAGAAGGACGGACGGTATGTTAGAAGCAGGTCTGCGGAAATAGGCTAGAGAGCAGTCACCGAGGAGATTGCCTAGAAGAATTTCACACTCGCTAAGAAGAATTTTTCCAGCTATTTGAGTTGGTGTAATAAAAGATACCGGATTTACCCTATGAACCATGTCTGCCTGTATCACTGACGAGATGCTTTTTCTACCCAGCCCATCAGTGATGTGCCTTGGCTTCCCCATGTCAGGACGGGGGAAGAGTTGGAGCTGGTTAAGCCATTCCAGACAGTGACTACCCAACCTCTTCCTGCAGACCTCCAGGGAGGAAGAGTCTGCAACTACCGTATCGTCCTGCAGGTCTTCCAGTTAGGACGCTTCTCCTGAGCTCTGATCCAAATCTGCCTGTTGTGGCCTCACTTATGTCAGGGTCACACAAGCCAATGGTCCCTTCTCTGGCACAGTCTTTGCCACTGCACCTACCTTTTGCAGCCCCCTTGGAGAGTGGGACTGGCTGATTGTGGAGTAGGATACTGCTCGCTGAATAAGCAGGCTTGCACCCCCATTAAACCCCAAGGTCAGCTTCTTTTTGTCTATGCAAGCTTGCCATGCCAATAAACTTGGGCTGCTCTAAGGTACAGCAAAACAACAAGTGTAACACGCTGCATTAGACCCGCTCTGTGCTGCTAGATCTGTCCCGCACCTGGAAACCAAGGCAGCAGCAGCAACAGCATACGGTTGGCTTAGCAGAGCGATCTCTTCCAGGGCTTTCCTATGTGGGATAACTTTATCTGGGCAAATCCCATCAAACTTTGCTTAATTCTCGTGAAGTTGTGTTTGCAAGGCTGAAGGAACAGAACTTCTCTGTCTCATAAAACCCATCAGATTTTTTTTAAAGGCACTTTTGCGGTTTGTGTTAAAAACTGTTTCGTTTACTGGTAGGAAAGACATTATAGTGCAGAGGCTTATGCCTATGCTCCCTAACCTGAGAGGCTGCAAAAACCCTTCACCGTAATTCTGGAGAAACTCTGAGCATTTAAACAGTGTTCAGATTACAGCGTGGTGCCCTGCTGCATTGTAACGTTCCCTTTAAGACTCTTTTGGCTAAAGGCAATACAGAGAAATGCAGGAGGTGGGGACAACAACAAAAAAAAAAAAAATGAAGAAGTAAAGGCAGGAAAAGTTTCTCCAGAGGAAAAATGCAGGGCTTGTCCTTCACCCTGACGTCAGATGTGTCTTTAATAAAATACCCAAAGAGGCAAGAGAAAAAGGCAGATCTGCCTGAGCGAGGCTGCCAGCTCAGGACTGCTCCGCCGTCCCAAAGTGGGGGGCTTTTGTGCACAGCAGCTTCAAATCTGGGTTCAATCAATGCATTTAATCCTGGCTTCCAGTGATGAGGTGGCTTCTGCCTTGGATTGTAGCAGCAAGCAGCGTTGTGCAGGTGAGTCTGGGAGCTGCAGGCAAGACTTGGCTTGTGCAGCTGGTGAGGATTTTAGCCTTATTCTTTCCGGGGGGGGGGCAGGAAACCAGCTGGGGACAGCCCAGAATCTAAGGGCAGGAGAGGTGAGGTAGGAGCGGGGAAGATGTTCACCCCTCACCTTTCTTCTCTTTTTTTTGTTTCAAAGCTGAGACCCATTTTTTTATGCCCAGAAAAGCAGTAGCAGATGCAAGTGCCCAGTTGAAATCTGCCTGTGTAACATCACTGGAGCCCTTGGAAGCCAGTTGAGGAGAAAGGGAGCAGAGCAGGGGGGAGTAAAAGGATCTGGAAGAGGGCGACAGGCAAGTGTGTGCGGGACAGGAGCAGCAGCATCTGCTGGCAGGGGGCAGGGAGCAGGGAGCAGGGCATCTGCAGAGACCACACGTGGCAGCAGGAGAGATCTGGGTGGAGGGGGAGGCAGTGGCCAGGCTGGAGGACGTGGGTGCTGCAGGCAGGGATGGCAAGGGAAGGAAGCTTTAAAGGCACAGCAGCCTGCCTGGGGGGCAGTGCCAGGGGGTGGCTGGCTCCCTGGGCAGCACCCTGCCCCTCCAGGTGGGCATATGGCAGAGGGGCTGAGGCTGGCTCTGTAGCAATGAGTGCAGGCAGGCTGCTGGGCCGAGGGGGGCTGGGGGCAGCTCGTGCTTGCTGGGTGGGGTTGTGCTTTCCTTTGCAAATGCTGATGCCTGCCTGTGGCAGGCACAGGACAGAGTGATGGTTCGGAGCCCTTGCGGGTTGCGAAGGGGGCAAATTTCAGGTTCACGTGGGGAGGGACCCTAAATGCCTGTTTCTGGGGCCAGAGGGCAGAGCACTGCTCAGGCAGGTGAGAGCCACCACCAACCCCCTGCCTCTTGCCCATGAGGGGAGCTGCCGCTCAGGAAGGGGAAATTGTGGAGCAGGGTCTGTGTGGCGCTCGCGGGATGTGGAGGGGATGGCTCGGGGGGACGGGGAAGGAAGTGCTGGGGTGCGGGGTCCGTGCGCATGGAGCTGTCCTGCCCAAGTGCTGGTGGCCCAGCGTCTTAGACGTGCTCGTGGGAAACCAGGCGCTAAGTTCAGTGGCCAGATACAAAGGACAGCTAGACGGATGCAGTGTCCGTTCGAAGCAGACATGCACTTCCCAGATCCTCTAAAGCAAGTAACTGCTGCAGAAGGTCCCACCGCTTTAGGCTCAAGGGCCCCCTTGCTATACATGAGACATCCCTTAGAAAATGCTAGCTCCTTGATTTCAGGCGATCTTTTACTTCTGAAAAATACAAGAGCAAGTCTGCTGCTGCAAAGAGCTCAGAAGGACCGCAGCAGGGCAGGAACGGTTTTACTGCTATGGATTTCTATGGGAAATTGCTGGGATCATTGTTTGAATCGTGCTTGCTGGCTTAACAGCGCTAACGTTGTGTGACACCCCCCAACGCCCCTGAAGGATGTCAGGATGCTTCAGGGTGCCATGGCAGCCTGGTTGAGAATCGCACAAACACTGCCTTTTCTGCAGGCTGGTGAAATGGCACAAGAGGGTAGTTCCCTCCATCCTCTTCAAGGCAGGTGTGGGCGAGTACCGTACAGATCTTAGACAGGAGTGGGTACAATATGGCCCGTGGGCTGGATTCAAGGGATACTGTCCAGCCGATGTCAGGTCCCTCAACCCAGCCCTAGTGCAGGGGGCAGCCCGCTCCACTTTCTGGCAGTCCTTGCAGTGGTAGCTCCTTCTGGCTGCCGCTGCGAGGGTCTCTGCTGCAGCTGACCTGGCACCCAGGCATCCTGGCCCATCTGCCCCGCACCCACTGCCCAGGGTGCCAGACAGAGCAGGCGGCTGGGTAGGCAGGGCCTCCATGGAGACTGGCCCACGATCCCTGCAGGCAGGGCGCACTCAGATGGGCAGATGGATGGAGCCATGGGTGGGCAGAAAGTGCTGTCCTGGAGTCGGATGGGCTCAGGGCCAGGGCCAGGATTGTAGGGTGGTCATAGCATGGGGCTGGGGCCTGGGGCAGAGCTGTGATCCACTCCCTGCACACCCCTACCCCTACCCCTACCCCTACCCCTGGAACAAGCACCCACCTCAGGGATGTGTAGGGAGCAGATTGCAGCTGTGCCCCGGGCCCTGGCCCTATGCAGTTACTCCACACCTGCCCATGGCTCCATCACATCTGCCTGCCCACGCATGCCCTGCCCACGAGGGTCCCAGATCCATGGAGATCCAACCCATCTGCTCTGTCTGGCGCCCCCGGCAATGGGTGTGGGGTAGATGGGCCCGGCCAGATTGGACCGATTGCACCCCTGCCACACCTGGCCAGGTTAGCACAGCACCTCCTCAGCCCACAGCAGCTCACCAAATGTCCCTCCAGCCAAAATAATTGCCCAGCGCTAATGCTAGGCCTGCTCCACTCCACTGTCTTGATGCTGAAAGGCTGCCCATAACAGCCTGATGTACACGCAGGAAAATGAAGTAAACCCCTGGCTTGGAGAGCTTCCAGGTCAAGGCTCTGGTCCTTCCATCAGGCCCAACAGGAATCCATCGGCTCTTTCCGGTGGCAGAGCACCGAGCCTGTGAGATTCCCATTGAAATCATTGAGTCTCTGGCTTGCAGGACCGGCCCCTCAGGTAGACCACCATACTGCACATGGTATCGTTGGGGTGGGAGGGTGAGGTCTTCCTTTTAATGACTTACGAACTGGCTTCTTTTGGCCTCATGTACAAAGAGGGTCTTGACTGGAAAAGGGGTTTGGTAGATGTGGGGAGGGAGGGATCTCTGCACAGATAAGATTTTCGGAGCAAAGAGTTTGGGAGGTGTGGTGTGATGGAGAGCATTTGCCCATAGGACCGGACAGGACCTGCCAGGTCAGTGAGCCCATCCCCTTGCCGTTGCAAGCAGCCGTGTCCCAAAAGTCCCAGAAGATCGCCCCATCAGGGTGGTCCTCTTTCAGGGGCCCAACAGGCTGGATGTAGTGTTTGAAGGGGAAAGAATGGGTCACAGTCAGGTCAGCTAGTGAATTTGGCAGCTGGACAGACAGGAGGTGTGTGGGAGTGTTAATGTCCCTTACGCTGCAGAAGAGGAGGGATGGGATGTCTGAGGGGGCTCAGGGATGCTGTAAAGGTTTTATTGGCATAGCACTCTCATGTAAAACCTCAGGAAGCCTGCACAGATCAGGCCAAATAAGTGTCAAAGCCATCCTTGCATTGCACCATGTTGCCAGGTATTTTTATGTACATTTAGCTGCTATATATAACCTTATTTTAACATGCATTTGCATCAAGGCACAAAAATCAAAGCAGCCGGGCTCCATACGTTGCCGATCCCACAGTTGCTTGCGTGAAGGTGGATGGCCACAGTCTCAGAGATCCCCACAATTTCACCGGGACTCAGCCTATCTGCTCCTTTACAGAACTGGGGTGTGAAGAAGAGGAAGCAGGATGCATTGGGAAACCCAAGGGTGGGGATGACTTCGCTTTCTGGTTCTGATATATATAAATGTGCATATTGTGAGCAGTATGGTGAATACAGGGTTTTTAGGAAAGCCTTGGATGCCTTGGGTATCACATACTGAGTGCAGTAGGGGTCTTCTACAAATGTGTTACAGTCTATGCTGTCTCATAAAAGTTTTAGTGAGTTCTGAAATATTTTATTGGGATATATATATATAAAAGCTTTTAAAACCAGAATCTCTTAGCTCCAGGGGTAGAAGTGTAAAGGCTGGAGCGTGCGTGTGGGGGAGAGAGAGGGATCCTTCCAACCTAAACTTTCAAATGTTCTCCTAAATAGATTTTTTTTTTCTTTACACACACAGTCAAATTTCCAAAAGAGCCTTCTTCACTTGAGAGCAAAAGTCCTATTGACTTGCAATGAGGCTGAGGCTTTTCTGTACCACCGTTGCATTTGAATGTGCAGCTTTTAGGCATGGTATCTTGGTCCCTTTCAGGGACCTCCTGCATCTTGCTGGAAGATAAACTCTCCCTTTCTCCTCTTTTGATCCCTGGCAGGAAACATTCAGCCCTCTGTGATCAATCTTCATCCTCAAGATTTGGAGGGGATATTTGCACACAGCAGAGGAAATAAAGGGGACATTAATTTGGCTGCTGGCCTTACAGCTTTCGAATGTGGGGAACCGGGAGGATTAGCTCTGTACAAATATGTCAGCTCCCTTCCCTCCCTAGAGCTTCATTATCATTGCCACTGCTCTAATCTACGGGCTAACATAGACAGTGCAGGAGGTAGTTATAAAACCCTGTGGCTTTTCCTTCTCCTTTTTGTGTGATTTACTGGCATGGATTTGGGCCCAAGGATTTTTTCATTTGTAAAATATTTGGATTTGGTGGCAGGAAAAACTGATTACGTTTTCTTGGCCTCCTATGAAGGAAACCACACTCTGACCAGGCTTGAACCAAAAAAATAATGGTGTGGTTTTTGTTCATTGGCAGTTTGTCCAGTGTTAAATGACTTTGTGCGTTCCAGGGACCTTTACGCTCATTTGGCGAGGGGGGGTGCATGGATTTCAGGAAGAGGTGTTTTGGCCACCGGTACATTGGCCGGAGGAGTTTCCAGTCTGATTCGTTCCTGAGACACAGATAATTGTGTATACTCTGTAATCAAGGTGTGAACCATTTGACTTGTTCTCCTTCCTGAAGATATTATCACATAATATTGTCACAGACTTCCTAATGCTTGGTGCAGACCGCTCCTAGTTATGTTCTCACTCTTTGCAATGGCCCAGGTCCTCTGCAGGCTATAAATGGATTTGGCTCCCAGTGAAGCTACACTGGTTTGTGCCAGTTGAGAACTTGGTCCAATGTACATAGCTGCCCTGGAAATGTATGTGCTGTGGTTGAAGGGAAATGGCGCTCTGACGCAGGCTTCCGAACTGCATTATATTTATCAACACCAATTTAAATTGCCTCGGGTTTGGCAATTTCCTCCCATAAACACACACATGCAAGGCAGTAATTGCTACGCTGAAGCTGAAGTCCTGGAAGCGCTGCAG